CATTGTGGATAGTGTCAAAGATTGGCAAAGAATACCGTGGGATATAGATCAGTTGCACATACAGGCAGAGAAATGGCAGATGGAGTTTAATCTGGGTAAGTGTAATGTGCTGTGCTTTGGGAGATCAAATGTTAAGGATAATATACAGTTAGTGGCAGGGCCCTGAACAGCACTGAGGTACAGAGGGGTCTTGGGGTTCAAAGTCCCTAGCTCCCATCTACTTGCATGGCCACTTTCAGGCTTGAAAGAAAGCATAAGAAATGCTTGCCTTTATTGGTCGGGGAACTCAAGTACGAGAGTCAGGATATCATGTTGCAGCTTTAAAGACTTTGGTTAGGCCACACCAAGAGCATTGCATTCATTTCTGTTCACCACATTACAGGAATGATGGAGGCTTTGGAGAAGGTGTAGAAGAGGTTTACCAGAGTGCTGCCTAGATTAGCATGTAAACTAAAAGTGAGAAGCTAGAAAATCCCAGGCTGTTTACTTGAGCAGAGGCTGAAGAGAGACTTGATAGAAGTTTATAAAAAGTATGAAGATGCATAGATAGGATTGATGGGTAGAAGAATCCTCTCTTCTTCCTTCCCCCACCAAGAGTTGCAATTTAAAAAAAAGAGGGGCATTTAAAGGAGAGGCGCAAGGATTTTTAGAAAAAAAAAGTGATACGAGTCTGCAACATGCTGCCGGGGTGGTGGGAGGCAGATACAATAGGGGAGGTTGCGACTTTTTAATAAGCACAGGAATGTGCAAAGAATGGAGGGATATGGATCACGGGTAAGCAGAAAGGAAGTTTCATTTGGCATAGTGTTCAGCACATGGGTTGAAGGGTCCAGTCCTGTGCTGTACAGTTCTACGTTCCAAGAAAGAGACACTGCACAATTCACATTGCTTTGCAAAGCCATGACTCTGCAAACAAAAAAAAAGTTCAATTGTCAGTTCTGGCAGGGAATTAAAAACAGACAGCAGCTGATTAGCTGGCAGCCTTTTTCTGTTGTAGTCTGAAACTGTTAATAAGTTTCAAGCTCCTATCATCAAGTCCAAGGCTTTTTAGGAGAGGGAGATATTCTGAAAAGTTAAAAAAAAGTGGAAGCATGGAGACTGAATTCAACAAATGAATTTCAAAACACATTAAGAAACATATGAATCTCTTTAGTACATTAGAAATGTCTGTTTCAAAAAAGAAAACATGGCAGAGAACAAGAACAGAATCAAGTCATTGAGAAGCTAGGAAAGGAACTATTTCACCACAAGGCAACATAAGCTCACTAAAATGGCAGCTAACAAGCACTTGAGCTCCAATGAAATACACAACCTGTGCACCAAGTTTAACCATGCAATAAGACAATTGACCAGACAGATGTCAAAAAGGCTGTCTTCAAAGTCAGCAATGAACAAAAAAGTCTCAATTTCAGCTAGAATTTTATGTACAGAAAGGATAAGTCTGCGCCTTTGGAAATGGTCAAACAAATGAAGAAGAGACAGCATAAAGTAGAATGAAAGGAAATTTCAAATGAGAACAAAGTAACCAAACTCCAGTAGTATGCATTAGAGGAAGAGGAAAAAAAGCAAGAAAGTAGGAAAGAATGGGTTAAAAGATTTTTCTACATTTCTACAACTCGGAGGAGAGAAAAAACCAAAAAGGCATACAAAAGGAGCATCATAAAATGGTGGAAAAAACTAGGTAAGTTTCCACAAGTCTGCATAACAGGCTTGCAACAAATATTAAAATAGTCAATAGTCCAAGGTTTTATAAAACACTGGTTCTGCCTCAACTGAAGTCTTGTCCAATAATGATAAAGGCTTTAGAAGGAGCAGAAAAGAAAAAAGGTTCAAGAGGATGTTTCCAGGAATGATAACTGAAGTTATGTTGGCAGATCAAGGAAAAATTGGGGATTGTTCTTTTGCAAATGAAAAAATTGAAATGGTTTTGGTGACATGTTCAAAATCATGATGCATCTAGATAAAAGACACTGTTCCAATTGGTTAAAGGGTTGAGAACTAGCTCACAGGTTTTTAAAGTGAATATCATCTGGTTGTTTAGGCAAAAAACCCAATTTTAATTAAAAAGTAGACACCAAGCAGTTACCACTAGAACATTCTGCAGAAAAATTCAACTGAGGCTTTTGAAAAAAAGTTGGATAAACAGTTGGGGAAGAACCAATTGAAATGCTACATCAAAAAAAAAAGTAGTGACTAGGATAAGCCAATTTACTCCTGCAGAGAGCCAGTGTGAACTAAGTGGCCTCTTGTGTTTCATATCACTTGTGGAATGGTTAAGTGGCACGTTGAACCACTTGTTCTCACCTCAATAATGCCAAACCAAACCAATTCTCCTCAAAATGCACTAACACCATCTACATTTACTGCTACCCTGGGCAGCATACTGGTCTCAAATCTACAATAAAAACAAGAGAGTGTCACCTTGTGCAACTTGAGCATTTCTGTGCACAAAAGATCAAGAATTACCAAGACTGTTACACTATTCAACGGTCCAAGAAGTGCACAGGAAATTCTCACATCCTGCCCTTGACTGAAGTACAGGGCAGCAGAGAAACCTCATGGTTGGTTTAAAAAACCAACAATTTTATCAAAATGCTACAGCATTCACTGATTCAATGTTGCACCTACATGCTGGTGTACTGAAGTATTTTTGACATGCTTTGAAAGTTAAGCTTGCAGGCACAAATTGTTAGAACAGAGCAGATTAAAATTCTGCTGGCACCATTGACTTGGAGTTCAACTCAAAAAAAATGACACTTTGCTTAAAATAAATAGAGTTAATATAGCTAGAGACACCTTTACACAATTTCTAGCACAAAGAATGGACATTAAGGATGTGTTTTCAAGATTTACGTTCTAAATGGCAGGAAATTTCACCTTCCTGGTCTGCAGATGAAAATGTTGGACACCAATAAAAAAGTATGCAATTAAAATAAGTCAGGACACTAATTTTACCCAACACTGGGTGCTTACAAATACCACATGGAAACTTTTCCAAAACAGGTGTTCACAAATCAGGAATCCTAGTCATCCGAGTTGCTACAAAAAAACTTTCATGTTTCCACTGTTACTTTGCTTACATTTCACCCCCCCCACCCCACCAAACTCTTGCATCATCTATTATCAAATATAATGACCATGAAAATAATTCAACCAACCACACAATAAGATGATAAAAGCCAAAAGAACTGCAGATGCTGTAAATCAGGAACAAAAACAAAGTTGCTGTAAAAGCTCAGCAGGTCTGGCAGCATCCGTGAAGGAAAAAACAGTTAACGTTTTGGGTCCAGTGACCCTTCCTCAGAACTGAACACAATAAAGATAGATAAGTGGTTGCTTACATAGATGGAGGACATTTGGCCAATCATGCCTGCAAAGATTTAACTGCATCTTTTGGCACAAAGCCCTGGTGGCTATTGAAATGAAAATCTAACTCCATGCCTGTTATTGATCTAACAGATAAAGCACTTATCCAGCCTATGCCTCAAATCACTCACATTTCAGGTGCTCCAATCCACAACTAAAAACAGCCCCAGTCTATGCTCACTCAGACGTCAGCCCAAGCAACATCCTAGTGAATCTCCTTTACACCCACTCCAGTGCAATCCTATCTTTCCTACATTGTGGTGATCAGAACTGCACAGCATTCCAGATGTGACCTAGCCAGCAGAATGTCCATGCTCTTTTGTTTTATACTTCAGCTAATAAAGGCATGTATCCCAGCTGTCTTAACCACCTTTTATGCCTGCACTCTTGCCTTCAAGGATCTGTAGATCCATTCCAAGGTCCCCCTTTGTATTCAGCATGAGAGTTCTACCATTCATGGTTAATTTCTCTCTTCCAGGTTGAACTCCAATTGCCATTGCTCAGCCCACCTGACTGGACAATTGATATCCTCTTACAGTTTAACTATGACTGGTTTCAACATTAAGAAACAAAAAAAGTTGCTTAGTAGCACTTTTGTGCTTCACTCAGACTTTTTTTGCATTGAGAAATGCTTTTTACCTAGTTTGGTTTTCTACATTTTTCCTCCAGATTTCTCTTTTCATTCACAGTATGAGGTGGTCACTGGCTGGGCAGCATTTATTGCCCATCCCTAATTGCCCAGAGGGCAGTTGAGAGTCAACCACATTGTGGGTCTGGAGTCACATGTAGGCCAGGCCAGGTGAGGGTGGCAGTTTCCTTGTGTAAAGAGGTGGAAAGTGAACCAGGTGGGTTTTTCTTGATAAAAATCAAGAATGGATTCAGTGATCATTAGATTCTTAATTCCAGATATTTATTGAATTCAAATCCACCATCCTGCTATAGCAAGATTTGAACCTGGGTCATCAGAACAGTCTCTGGAATAACAGTCCAGTGATAACACCACTAGGCCATCAAATGATTTCAATTAAACTTGAATGATCATCAGTGCAACACAACTGTCCAAACAAAATAGGTGAAATTTGTGTAAAATAGCTCTGCAGATCTAACACGTAACATGGTTGTGGTTGGTTGGCTGGCTCGCTGAGCTGGTTTGTTGTTCCGCAGACATTTCATTATGCTGCTGGGTAACATCAGTGCAGCCTCCAGTGAAGCACTGGAGTGTTTTCCGGCCTGTTATTTAACCTCTGGTGTCCAGTTACCCCAGTTTCAATTTTCCTTTGCAGTGGAGTGTATTTTTTTTAATGTCTGCAGAACAATGAACCAGCTCAGGAAGCCAACCAACCACAACCAGAGCTACAAATCTACTAAAACCTTAGACATGTAACATGGGTTTACAATATGACAGTCTATGATGACAGATTCACATCAGTTTGGATTTGGTGGGCTGGTACCTTAGCAGGAAGGCACACATTTGAATCTCCGGGTGACAGTGTACAGCTCATTGTTTTGTTTGTACAGTGATTGAAAGGAATTAGTTTTTTCTTCCAAAAACGAGAGGAGATGGGCACAGCGAAAAACAAGGACACATTTAGATAATCAGATTAAGCCAAGTTGAAGTCTTTTAGCTCACTTACCTGATCAAAGAGTTGCTTGCCAGTGGTGTTAGGCTGGATAGCAAACTCCAGCTCAGCATCCATGGTGGTAACCCGAACATTGATCTGTTGAGATGAAGGGAAACTTATTAGATCTAAAACAGTTAGCAACTTTTGAAACGGGAAAAAGAAAGTGGTTGGCTTCCAATAGAGGCAATATTTTAGTGACCTGTTTTAAAGAGAAAAGCCCAAATTCCAGCATGAAAATAGATCCAAAGAGGAACTAGCTCAAATAAAAAGTCAGATAAAAAGTTTAGATCTTCCATCCCAAGGGACTAATTTGGAGTACAGCTGCTGAGCATAATCATCTCCAAAATCAAGTTACCATTCTTCACATGGGGTTGAACATTCGATCTAAGGTTTGATCTCTTGCTCCAACTGGTGGACTCTTGGCCCTCTATGGGGTGGTCTGCTGTCAGAGCCAATTACTGCAGTGAGACACACACATCAACTCCTATTTCTTGATTTTTAAAATTAAAGTTAGCTGTGAAGACTGGCACCCACTTAGTTTATTCTCTCATCTAGTTTAGTAGAAGTTATTGTAGGCCTGAAAATTAAGGAAGCTGGTACATTTTACTAATGATTTCTATGTGGCAGTTCACTAGTATCCTGATACTTTGAAAATTAGGCTACCATTTTGATTTAAATATTTTCTAAACCAACCTGTTCACAGATGTTATGCCACACCTCTGGAGCAGTTGGGACTTCATGCAGTGGTGGTGTCCCTCTCTTCAGACCAGGACACTAGTGTTGAAGAGCCTTAATTTTTTATACCCTATTTTCTAAGCAACCTGTCTAGGTGTTATTACCTACAACTGGAACAGGGACTCGAACCCAGGCCTCATGGCTCAAAAAAAAAGTAGGAATACTACCACTGCATCACAAGAGCCCTTGAAATTTAACATTAAAAAAACAAATTCCTACTACTCACGCCTTGTAAAGGCTAGAGTGGGCCTTAAACTACACTTACTGTGCACTATAGGATCTTAATATTTAAAACCACCACAAGAATGTGGAATTTGAACACTTCAATTAACTTGGAATTTTAGCTTTGTGGGCAGCTCAGTATAGACAAAATTATACTGTAAAAAAGCTAGGCAGTTGTATTTTGTTACCATGAGACTTAAAACCCAAGAAAAAAAAGTTTTACAAAACTATTTCTGTATTTTAAAGAATCCAAAAAGGTAGTTTTTGGTGACTAACAACTACTGCAGGCAGACATCCAGGTCCCCAGCTATCCTAACTGTGCAATAAAGCTGCACAATACAGTTAAGAATTTATAATACCAAGTCACCCAAATTCATAGGTTAATATTTATTAACAGGTTTGTCACCATTTCTTCAAAATGGATCTTGTCCAGAAGTTTGGACATAATGCCAAGATAAGTGGCACGTTAGCCTTATAAAAGTGATTTTAAAAAAGGTTAATGAACTAATAACCTGAAAATATTGAAGGCATTCTGCCTGACTCACTGGTTTTGAAGAAAATGCAATCATTTCTACTCTAAAGTTACCTGGCAGAGGCACTGTCATATGTAAATCAAATTCAAGTTCAAACTTAGAGTCAAGAATAGGTTAAAGATTAACAAACTGTCACATAATTCTTTCATGTACTGGAGTTCACTGAACGCAAGTTACTATAAAAGTTAGACAAGTGTAGAACCCACATTTTGCCAGCAAAATCCGTGACAAAAGACATCCAAAAACTGACACAAGGGTTGGTAGGCTGGGACACCAGGAAACCTCTTTGCTCTTCATAGCTGTGTCATGGGCAGGCAGGGTGGCAAGACTGTCACATCTCCCTCTGAATGTGCCATTGCAAAGGAAGTGTGGAGGAAGATGCTGTGGTTTGTGTTGAAGGTTTGTCCCAAAGCAGCTCCTGTGATGCAGAACTGTGCTCTACACAGTCAGTTCCCCAGGATGCACACCAAGGCAAAAACAAACATCAACTGCACCTGAAAGACCATCTGCTTGGTGAAAGGTGCTCTTTGGTCTGCCCAAAACTTGGCAGTTCACCAGAACAAGGTGCTGACCCTGACTCAGTGCTGCAGACTGGTACATTCCCAAAATAGGTCCAGGACTAAGTGCTGAGGGAGACACTAAAGCTTGGGGCAGCCACAGCCAAGGCACAATGGAGAAGATCTGAGGTCTTGAGGATAGATGGGGGTCCCTTTGATCTTGTACCCTTCTAGTGCCTCAGACATGCACGAATATTGGTGTGGAGAAGAGTCTGGTTTTTTTGGGGTTGGGTCAGAATGCAGTGTTTTGTTTGTTTACTTGATACGCAACTGCACAGAACTGAACTGTGACAATGTATGCATATAGATTTTTATGAAAAGTGCATTTGGAATAAAAATTTAGGAGTTGGACAAAGAATGCTAACAGCCAAATCTAATACACATCAGAACTAGTCAACATGCAAAGATAAAGTAATTGAATTTCCCCTCACCATAATTTATAGTCTCAACCAATTTTAAACAAATAAAATTTTAGACTGGTGAGAAAACTAAACATTGAATTAGAGTTTGCAATACTACAGGTACTTAGAATTGTTGTAACTTAAAAGAGAACTTGTTTCAAAATTTCACTTTGAGGCTGTACTTTTACAGACAGACAAAAATCCTCACTTCTTTTCTCCACAACAAGTAGAAACTGGAAGAGTAATGCTTTATGTCTCACAACAGCATGGGCAACTGTTGTACTAAGGATATGGGAAAACAAATTAGAAAAATATTATTTGGCCACTGCAATTGTTCGTTCATTTAAAACTAGAAAGATATAGGTGTACTTTGTGTACACAGCTCCATAAGATCATCAAGTAACGTTTCTCCAGTCTGTTACCTTTAGTAGGAAACAAACTTCAGACACGTTACACCATTTGTCTGGGGTTTCTGATATTCCTTGGAATTTATAGCTGGGAGATCAAGAAAAAAGTGCAGAGGAAATTATGTCAATGTCAAAATAAAACACTGCAATTTGGCTAAGCCTCAGTTACTAAGAGAAAGGTAGATGAAATAATAGCTAATAACATACCAAAATCTTATACTGGCAGTTTGAAGTAATGGAGGGTGGAGATGGAGTTTATTTAAAGAGTACAACACTACTTAAGACAGATTGGAAAGTTATCCTCTAGAGCAAAAAAGTAATACTGTAAATAGATATTGCTGGAGAAACTCAGATCTGAAGGGTTCCTGGACTCAGATTAACTTGGTTCTCTCGACAGATGCTGCCAAATCTGTTGAGTATCTCCAAACAAAAAAAAAATTTGTTAAAGATTTCTAGCTGTTTTATTATTGCAGTACTGTGAATATCCAAGATTAAAATAATTCAAAAAGCCTAAAATCACAGCAAAAGAGAAGTCTGCTGCAAGACTATGCAACACCAAGATTTACAACTGGCTGTTTAAGTCCACAGCAGAGAGTTATGCTGGATAACTTACTCAGAAGCATACGTTGCACAGTCAATGGTATGTGCAACTTAAAAATTCCAGAAGAAAAAAGTGACATTTGCTAGTCTGGTGGTTGCTCATTTGAGAGCAAAGGGTCTAAAGTAAAATTTTAAAAAAAAAAACTGAAGGATGGTTTGGTCAAAATAAAGTTGCAAAACATTTTCCCCCACCCCCGCCAATTAAAATTCAACCAAGTAGCTGTTAGCTCCTAAACTATTAGTGGATGGAAAGTTTTAACAAAGTGACTACCTAACATTACTTTACTGCCCAAGTCTCAAAAGTCAGCAAATTTCACATTCCATATCTTAGAGGTCAAAGGAGACATTTCCCACCCCAGGATGTTGCCAAGTTTTATTTTACACTCAGCAACAAGTTTTCCTCACTACTTTAAAATTAGCAAAAAAAGGTACATTTAGTTTCAGGAGGAAGTGGCTTTATAACTTGACATTTACAACAGGAAATGAAGCTTCACTGATGCTGTTCACTGTCAAAGTGCAGAAGGTAGGGCACAAGGACAGAAATACTATATTTCTGACCCATTGTTATAGGTACTGTAATTATGTGGACAGTAGGCAAAATCCCCATATCAATTGGGATGTCCACTGTACTGTCCAACATGCCACCCTGTTGCCCAAACAGGGCAGACATGCACTTTAACATTAGAAGTGTTTTAACTGGTTAGATAAATTAACCCCTCATTTTTCCAGACATGCAACAATTTGAATTATGTAGAATTCAAGTGGCATTTTGACAAGCAGTGTAATCATGCTAAGTTCTCAGTACACAAGAAGAGAGAGTTAACTGAATTGAGCCTGGCTTCATCTAATCCAGTGTGTTCAGAGGAAATGCAGAACATTCTACCACCTCAAGCATTCACTAGTACATAGGTGGTAGGAGTGAAACATCCAAAAAGATTGACAACAGCTCTGAGCTACACCTGCCAAACCTACAATTTAGGAGGACAAAGGTGCACAGGAGCACCATTACTCAAATTTCCAAGCTGTATGCCACCTGACTTGAAGTAGATTTTCATGCCTTCGGTGTCACTGGGTAAAGTGACATGGAATTTGGGTACGCTCAGCACCTGAGCTGCTTCCTCGACTGCAGCTCATGACCAATTTAAGGCCAGGCAGGAATAGGTGAGGAACTTAAAAATTTAGCTAGCCATAGAATTGGACACAGCACAGTCACTGGGCAAAAGGCACTTGCAAACCATTCCATTGGAAGGAGGAGAGTGATACTTGCAACTCAACATAGTTCAAAATTCCAAAATGGAGATGGATGGAGATTTCAGATCCACTATTTTATGCAACTACAAAAAAGCCTCATTTCACACCACCCCTACCATAAAAGAATAAATACTAAAAGGCTTTCCATTCCTTCTTGCCAAATGCAAGCCCCAACTTCACAATTTTTACAAATAAAGAACATATGACTAAGTGTCACTTTGAAAAAACAAATTTGCACAAGTAAAAAAGTTCATAGTTGAAAAAGGTAATCCTAGTTTATTCACTCAAAAGTATTGCCTGGGGGAATAGATTGCAACATCCAATCTCAACAACTAAGCTGCTGTTTTGTCTCATTTTACACCAGTAAAAAGTGGATTTTTTAGTGGAATT